AGGTAGAAACTTCAAAGAAGGCCGACTGACATGGCTGATCGTTCGGAACAGTTCTGCGAGATATAAGTTGTTTTATTGACGGAATCCGGTATTGATTGATGTTCCGCAGTCAGGGAAATGGGCCGTGAGGACTCTCTCCGCACACGTCATTTAGTGCATTGCCATTTTTTTTATCTTCTCGGTTGCGTTCTCCCACTAAAGGAAACCTTCCAGGGGAGAAGAAATGTCTACCCGTTATTCATTCCGGTACCAGCTCGACTTTGGTCAAAACGATCCACTGCGCAAAATCGATAAGTATTATCGACAATATACGTTTACCATAAAATAAAAAATAAAAATATTTTTTTACATGAAATTAATGTAGAAAATACACACGGGAGGAACGGATACTTGAGAGTTCTATTCCACTCAAACATTCAGTGCACATCATGTATACATATACATGATAAGTGTACATAAAAAAAAGTTCAGGCCGCGGGTGTTGAACAGAAATGTAAACGTTGTCATCAAATTGTTGTAAAAGCCTCGAAGTAATTGAAATAATTGCCTACCAATTAACCTAAGTTGGACCTATAGCGGCTAATTTAATTATTACTGCGTATTTCAAGAAATCAACAAGTTGATTTAAAAATTTTTTAACTTATATTAAAGTCAACGAAGAATCATAGAAGTTCAAATCGTGATTTTATATCCTCAGATGCCTATCTAGATTTTGACTTTTAATTTTTGCTCGTTTAATTAAAACACATATACTTTTATATATACAGTGCAGGGATAAAGCATCACAAAAACCACGGGAACGATTGATCATAAAAACGTTTATAATCAACCATTAGTTTAATCACTAGTGTGACCGGGAAACCAAAGAACAAAAGTATTTTTTCCTAATTAGGATGATATAGTTCGTAGAGTTTTTATCTTAGTTGAAATTTTGGCGGTTGTTATTATTTTACATAAATAACCTGAGATATGTTAAGCAGAACGGAAGATTGCGTCTTTTATTTGGTGTAAGTAAAGCAAATTAATCGTCATTATTAAAAACAAAACGGTCCTAATGATAAACAACGGGTAGATCGGGATATAAAGCTTATTTTTTTACCAAGTACCATTTTTTTAAATGTATAATTAAAATTATTTAATATTAAAAAATCTATAATTTTCATTCTGACTTCTTTGATGATGACCGACCCGAAAACCGTAGTGAAGAACAAAAATTTAAAAACAATGTATAACATGATGTAGAAAACGAGGAAGGGTGTTCGAGTAATTTTTCGAATGATTTTGCATTAGTGACTGGATTCTTGGAAGTTGGAACGCATTTGGTCGAACCCCACAATTCAATCACTTATGTTCAACTTTGTTGGAGTAATGATAAGTAGATGATTCAGTTCGTTTTGTGGTTAAAATATTGGACTATACTAAAATTTAATTGGTGGACTATAGAATTTTATAGAAGTTGATGATACACCCAGAAAAAAATATATATATCATATATAATTTTTTTCCGGGTGTATCATCAACTTCTATAGTCCACCCATTTAATGCGGAAACGATTAACATTAGCAAAACATGGTCTTATACAAACCACCCCAAGTTAAGTTTGTCTTCAAATTTTGCAAATGCATTATAGTAAATTTCTGAAGAATACCGCTTAAAGAACCTTTGTAAACCAAGAAACTACCTCAACAGTTCTACAATTTCTAACGAAATTGTGCAACTTGACAAGTGATTCACAGTTATAACTCGTACTCCTTTGTAGTTTACAATACAATTACAATAGCAAAAAAGGATTTATTAAAATGAAGAGAATTAATCAAATATGCACTTAATCATTGAAAATTTGAAGCAACTTTATACTGTATTGTAAATTTTAAACAAATATTATAATTTGAAAACTTAACTAATTTCTGTTTTAACACCATGTTGTAAACATTATTTTTCGTGCATGTATACAGGGTGAATTAACTTGTAAAGTCCACCCATTTAATTTGCAAACAATTAACTTATTAACTAAAGCAAAAAATGGTCTTAGGTACGTGGTGATAGGATAGGAATCACGTGGTAACATTTAAAACAACGTGTGGTGTTTAGGGACCGAATTAATGATTATTTGGAGATAAATCAGCGCTCTGGTGTGAGGTAGGTTTAGAAAAACATTTTCTTTATCGTGCCAACGTTTCGATCTTTATTGAGATCATCTTCAGGGTCTGGAATTTATAAAATTGTTAAAATTATAAAATACATATAAGGTGTGAAAAAATGGATTTCTATCATCGTACAAATAATAATTATTTAGCAAAACGTTCTCATCTAGCTGAGAAATGACACTGACTTTGTTATTTTAAATGGGAGTCCCATATTTTTATTGTGCAATTCTATTCTAGTGCTCATTTTTGCCACCTTTACTGAAAGGAAAATTTGGATAGGCTCGACCATTTCTGAGTTATGCCCGACGGAAAACGCGTGAGGGGGTATGGTTTTTGTAACATCAAGCTGGCCCACCCCGTTTATTTCGAAAACGATTAGCATTAGTAAGTTAATTTACCATAGTAATCGTCTCAGAGTTGTTTTTACGCTTAGCTTATATTAAGTTTTGAAAAGTCCAACAAGCTCCGCTTCGCACCCAGGGGAAGGTGGCGAAGCATCTCATATGGGATACCGTCACACCCGGGGCTTGAATTCCGGGCGCGCCCCGACGCGGACTCGAACTCTCCCATCGTCAGAGACATATTGTACGCTTCTCTGGTGCCGCCGCCGAAATCAATCTCAGTGCGTTCCGTCTCGGTTTTCCTTTGTCGGAAGGTATCGGAAGTGGACACCGAGGCGAAATGCCGCGCCAGTTCTTCGGCAACCTCCGAGGCTTCCGTCACACTCCCGCGATCGGTGGTCAATATCGGTACCGACGGAGGTTTGGATAGGCCAGAGAGTGCTCTGACCTTGTCCCATACTTCTTTGGCGGAGGTCTGGCAAGTCATTTCAGAGACATATCTCGCCAGGCTATCCTTTTTGGCTTAGGACAAGGTACGCCTCTCTCTAGCCCTTTTTACTTTAAAATTTGCAAGGTTCTCCTCCGTAGGAATGCTCGCTTCTTCTCCGCGTGTTCACGGCCTCAGGCATCGCTCCACCAAGGAACCGGTGGCCTACAAGTAGACCCACCGCTCCTGGGGATGGATCTGCCCGCAGCGCGGTTGATCTCCCGCTCAAAGAGGAGGAGATCAGTGTCGACATCCCCTGTTAATTGAGGTGCCGACACCGCCGAAGAGAAAAACTCCTAATTCGCAAGCTTCAGGCTCCACTTCGTAGGAGGGTGATATACTCCTCTCGAGACGGAACTCCTCAACAATATCGGAAAGGGGGTCCCCCAATGGAGCCCATTCCACCCGGGTGGTCAGGGATGGTGAGGCTAACGACAGGTCGATCCCGCTAAATCGGCCTGTACTAAAATCAATATGAGTAGCAGCGCCGGTGTTTAGGAGGCCCAGGTCGGACTCGCCTATTAGATCCCCCATCTCTCTGCCGCTAGCGTCTGTTCGCAACGACCCCCACGATGTGTTGTGCGAATTAAAATCACCCAACACCAGAACTGGCGGGGGGAGCTGCTCGACGAGGGCAGTGACCCCACTGCTGTGCCACGATCCATCTGGAGGAAGATAGAGTGAGGTTCATCGGCGCCGCTATCCTCTCTGTGATCGCCTGAATTTCAGTATTTATCCTCACCTCATGTACCGGTACGTTTTCTCTCATTAAGATGGCCACTCCTCCATGAGCCCTACCGCCCGGATCCGGCTGCACCTCTCTAGAGAAGGTATTGTACCCCCTCAGTTCGAGGCTCGCCCCCCCGGGCGGATTCGGGTCTCCTGCAGGAGTATCGCCATCGGTACATGTTCCCTGACCATTAACTGCAGCATTTCTCTTTTGTTATTTATACCCGTGCAGTTCCATTGCAGAATGGACTTCATTAGTCGCTCCCTTTTTATCTTTCTCATGTTCGGTCTGGGTCGACCCTTCTGCCACCCCTTTTTCCTCCTTGTCGGAGCATCAGTGGCTGCTGAAGAAGTATCTGACCAAGACGTCGCTTCTATGTCCGTCACCCAATCAAGGCGGGACGGACCTGTTGAGATTGAAGCTACCGCAACCCACCCTTTCTTTTGCCCCCGCCATCAACGGGAGGGCTTTGGCGACTTCTCCTCTCTGAGGATCAGCAGGCAGGTTTTCTCCAGGACTCTCGGCCCAGGAGCGGGACGAGCTGCCGCTTGGGCGTATGTCCCTGAAGTGCCCCTACTTTCGACCACTGCCCTGGCCTCACGAAAGCTCATTTTATCTATTGTTTTTAGTTTCTGTATCTCTCGTTCTTTCGAGAAGACAGGGCAGCTGCGGATCGAGCTGTATAGCATCCCCCGCAGTTCACGCAAGTGGGAGGGTCTGAGCATATAGATTCCTTTGGGTGTGCTTCCCTCCCACACTCTCACACTTCCTGCAGGGATTTACATCGCAGGGAGATATGACCAAATTTCTGGCAACGATAGCACCTTTGCGGAGGTGGGATATAAGGGCGGACTTTCAATTTGTAGAACGCCGCTCTTATTTCGTCTGGGCATCGCGGGGCGTCGAAGGTGAGGATTAGACTCGCCGAAGGGACAATTTGTCCGTTCCGGCGAATGTTCATCCTCCTTACCTCCAACACACCCTTGTCCCCTAGGCCTTCTTTGATGTCATCGACGCTGCTATTCATGAGGTCACGGCATACTACTACCCCTCTGGAGGTGTTGTGTGTGTGATGAGGGGTAACCTCGACCTCATGGCCAGCAAGCGCCTTTAATGACATCAGTTTTGCCTCGATCTCTTTCCCAGTCACTCCTGTGCATATTTTCCCATCTATACTTTTTGTAATAGAGTTTGTTTTTCCTATCTTCTTTATTTCCCTGTGTAAAAGGAAAGGGCATGTGGATTTACAATCTCCCTCTTTCCTTGCTACATTATAGTACCTCGTCTCGTAGGCCTCAGCGAGAAGAGTAATTCCCATGATCCCGAGACACGGCGACGAGGCACCACTTTGCGATTTCTTTTTCTTTTCTTTCTTTTCCTTCTTCTCTACTATTACTTCTTTTCTCTTTTTTTGTGCCGGTGACAAAGGAGACACAGGTACATTCTTGTTTCACTCTTTGGCGAGTTGGTGGGAATTCTTTTCTTTTCCCAGCAACAGGAACGAAGCCTTCATTCTCCAACGTATGAGAAGGAGTGGATGGTTGAGGAGAGGGGGTTGAAGGGTTTGCAGGGGATAGAGGGACGTGGGTCTGGGAAGTAGAGGAAAGCAAATCCTTCGGCGGGATTGAGAAAGGAGTTGGGAGAGGTGGTGGTGTTGGGATAGGAGGGGGTGTTGTCGGGCTGGTCGGGCCCGGGTTAGGCGGAGTAGCCACTTTTACTCCTAGATTATTTTCTTTCTTTTTCATTTTCATCATCTATTGTGTTTTGTCTGTAAGGATGTATTGTGACATGTGTGTACAGTTCTCAGCCTTTGGGGTCGGTCCCCCGGCCCGCTCGAGCGATACCCCACGCGCCCCACAAACTGTGTGGCCTCGAGAGGGCCCGCCGCGATGCCCAGCACGGTAACCATCCTGTCGCCAGCTGGCAATACTAGGCATCACGCCATTATACACGAGGTGATAGGACAGCCTCCCCGGTGGCTATTCCGGGGTTCGGGTCCCTGTACTACCTCGCGGCCCGGGAGTGCCGTAACCCAGTTTTCCTTTTGTACCCTCACAGCTGCAGGACTCATGGACACTCAAGCAGACCGGGAGACTGCTACCTCCAGATGAGGACTGTGTGTTGTTGGTGTGGTGTGATGTGCACGGTGATTTGCGTTTGTTATCTTCGGGTTCCGAGGCCCTTGGCCGCGTGCATCGGCCTGTGTGTTGGTGGTGGCATGCTGACGGAAGACTGAACACCGTCCAAGTCTCCCGCCCTCACTCCACCAAGTGTTAGGTGTGGCGGAGTTATGTCCAAACCGGGTCGCCAATTCCCAGGACGTGAGACTTTGAGTTCATCTCAAGAACCTTCCTAGGGACGGTAGCCCTAAGGTGTATATAACGTAAATGTACTTCTGTTAGTGTAGGTGTATGGTGTGTTATGTATGTGTATCGTAATCAATGAAGTTCTACTGAGATGCGATTATTGCTAGTTGAAGCTTTTAGTAGTTAAGAACGACTATGCTACCATCAGCCTTTAATACTTGGCTTTTTAGTGTCGCCCTATTCATAATACTATGTTTAAGTCGACCGGCAATTAGAGGGCTTAATAAATCTCTAGGACTTAACTTAAGGCTTCTCCATTTACACGTTGTTTACATTTTAATTAGACCTGACTGTGCACTTTATTACACGAACCTGTTTATGATAGGGTATAAACAGGAAGTCCTATTAAACGTATTATTTCTTTTACTAAGATTCAAAATTCTTCAAAGATATATTTATAAGTCAAGATTATACTTATACTGTTGGTGTAAACTCATAAAGCCTTTACGATAATCCGTTCCAAGCGGGTTTATTATATCATTGTCCTTGCAACCAACAATTTTATTGAATCACGAATTATGTTTTATCGTGCTTATATTTTGGAGAAGTTATAATTATGAAAACGCGAATAATTTATATTATAATAAAATTAGCAATTGATTATTAATATGAATATTCATAGGCACGTCATTTGTGTATTTTGCAATGTAAAATCTTATCATCATTATATCAGTCATTTTTAAAGGTTATGTAAATTGAACCGTTATACAATTAAAAACATGATTTTTAATAATGGTAAAAGTTTCCTTGGGTTAACTATATTTGAAAAAAAGGACAAAAGTAAACGACTATCTTCCGAGGAAGCGGGCAAACTTAATATAAACACTCTGGATTAAGAAATGGTTTTAAAGAAGAAAAAAAAATTTAGTTGCTAATGCCAAGCTTTCGACCTATTTTAAGGTGATTATCAGGGCAAAACAACTTTAAATGGCTGCAGAATGACATATTTTTTTTTACAGGCGATCTCAAATATCCTTGAAGGGGGACCGATTCAGTCCCAATATTGCCAAGGCCTTTATCAGTATTGAACAGTTTTGAGTACTGTTATAATCCTTGGCAATGTTGGCAAGATCGAGTAGTCGAATAAAAATTAAATATGTCAATCTGCAGACTCTGACGATGATCTAGATCGAAAACTTTGCATTAGAATAACTAAATTCACTTTCTTTTTCTTCAAGACCATACCTTGATCCAGACTGTTCGTAAGTGAAAAAGGGGTCGATACTGAAAACAATACTTAATATGCTTTAATAAAGCCTATCAACTGTTTGCCGGAAGGTATTAAATTCCCAACTTTGAGGAATCGGTTTTTACAACCGCCGTCAATTATGTCCTGAGCAAAGCTCAAAGAGGTATTGACGTTTCTGAGCCAATATACGAGATTTTAGACCCCTTTTTAGCTGGGTCATCCGCTCTCTCGTTTCTTAGACGTCCTTCATGACGGATTTATGTAATGCTCGTCTTTGTAGCTATTTGATGAATTTTCTTCTGCTCCCCTAGCTTAATTTCACAACCTTTTTTTATGGGTTTATAAGAATAATCAAAGGAAAATTGTGTGAGTTTTTTTAACTTATCAAAGAAATTACTGTTTCGATTTTCTAACTTTTACTTGTGTAGAAGGCCAATAATGTTCACTAATTCACATTGTAGTCACGCTCATTCCAAAATATTAATCCGATAGTGCGACTTTTTTCCTCTTGTCGGGCCCTGTTAATTATAATCTACTTTTCTTCCACTGCGACATTTTTTTTCTTAAAAAAATAATATCGATGTTTATCGTATGTAAGCAAATGAAGGATCCATTCGATTGACGTTAGAAAAGTATTGTACAAAGCCAGAAGGCTGCAGTACTTTGGGAACAAAACTCTCGACTTCCAAAGTAATTTTAAATTCTTCATCATCATCACCACCATCATCATATAAGAAAATAATTTTCCAGCGGTTAGATAGAACTGATTACATTATAAAAGCATCGTTTATCATAACTTACTTTCCACGTGTAAAAATTACTTACATTTCATGCCCTCTATCATCGTATTGTACACACAGTACGTGTACTATTGTACATTTAAGGGGGGTGTGTGCTCGGGAGCACGTTACTGCAAATTAGCTCCAGTCGCCCTGGTGTAAAAACTGTAATATCCTCTTGGCAACGTGAGATAGAAACCCTGAATGCTGCATTTCCATTTTCTCTTGCCGGAAGGCCCAAATAAGCCCTTAAACGGGCCCGGCCGGCTACTGCCCCTAGCACTTAGACCTCGGGTCATTTCCTTCTGGTCCAATTATCCTATATTGGCTGTAGATAGACTTGTCCTAGCAGAAAACGGAGTGGACAATCATTGGTCGTGTCAGAAGCTGAAAATTAAATTATGAAAAATCGGTATTCCTCAAGGGTACTTGTTATTGGCTCTGGCCATAACATTTTTTTGGAATAGTAATATATTTTAAACCCATTTTCTTAACCTTCAATACGTTATAAAAGTCAACCTTCTTTGCAGCGAAATTATTATCACGCGTATATTTTCATTCGAGCAAGAGAAAATTCTGTAAAAATATTTTGCATCAGGTCTACTATAAAGTAAGTTATGGTTAATGTTCTCTACGACATAAAGCTCAGTTTCTCAATATAAAGCAAGGATAAGAAGACGGAAAGTATTGATATCCAATCATCTTCTCAATAATACGCATATTGCTATTAATTTTTAAATCATAATAATTGTCCGCTAAATGTAATCGTTAGTCGCTCTTCATAAAACAAATAATTCCTACTCATTTTACGTTTTGTTCAAACAATACAATTACTCATTTTTTTTATTACAGCCCGTCGGCATCTTCGTCAAAAAGTACGAATGGTCTGGCAGCCAGGAGGCCGGCGATTGCAGCCTTTGGATCCGTGCAGCCACGCTGGAATTCGATGACGGCATGTGGGAATGCCAAGTGACTGCATCGGATTTTACTACCCAAGATGCCCTGTCTTCCATCCCCGTCCCACTAGTAGTTAGAGGTAATAATTTAAAATACCAATTAAAATTGCACCATCCCACTAGAAAAAGCATGAAAATGCGTTTTGGTACGCTAAGTAATAACATGGTAATAATATTTGAAATAATAGGAATAATTTTCTTTTTACTTTAAGCGAAGGTCTATAGGAGACTTTAGGAACAAAACGATCCCGCTTTATAGACAATTGAAAAAAATACTTAAATGGCCGAGGTCCGCCTGTATGGGGTGGGGATCGTACGGTTGTAGAAAAAATAATTGAAATAAATCGAGCAACCATTTTATATTCTATGTATAAAAAGAAAATGAAGAAGAAGTAAAAAATAATAAGGACATCCGACGAACGCGTCTTACAATAAAATTGATACACTTAAAAAAATTATAATGGTTTGTTGCACCACTATCCTAGGGATCGCTGTTCTGTCATAATTTATTATTCGTGGTTCTTGGCTCACTTTTTTATGGGAAATAAATCAGTAAAAGAAATATCTGTACGAAATATTTGAAAATATAAAAACATGGGAAATATGTCAAAATTAATTAATGAAATTCTTGCATCAGTACATGTTAATTGTATTGTCAATCAACTTTTAGTCGCCAAGTGAAAAATATAATACATTAAGGTTTTGTGAACAAAGTGAACTGCTCCAAATTTTAAAGTATATTTTCATTTTTGGTTAAGATTTTCGGGGCTATTGCCCGAATATTATTAATCCATTGGTAGCCATATTTTTATCTTAATATGCTTATTAACCAAGTTGATGTACTAGTTATGAAAGACAAAACGGAAAAACTTCTACAAAATAAAATGGAACATATGACGAATTGTTCACGTGTCAACATGAATGTCTAGTTGTATAGTATTGGAAACTATATCATTTAGTAAAAGACACACTGTCACACAAAACCAACATTGCACCACAAAAATAGCACCACACTTTATGCCCTGAAGGTGACCTGAAAAAAGGTCTAAACGTCGGCATAAAAATGGATAAAGTGTTTTTCTAAACTACCTCATTTTCGACCGCTCGTCAGGAATTCAACAAATTATGAAACAACCGTTCAGTAAGAAACCACAATTAATGGAAATGGAATAAACAAAAAATAAAAATTACTTAAAATGATTTGCATAGTTCAATTTATTCAAGAAACTTTAAAAATGAATCCAACTAAAAAAAAGCTGGAGGTCATAAAATATTTACAAATTAAAAAAATTATATACTGCACATACGTTAAAAATTCAAAACTGGGTGCACCTAAAACTGATTGAGCAGAAAAGCAAGGAATAATGTCGTTGTTTTTTTCAAATCAAAATCACGTCCGTTTTATTTTAATTAAAATTGGCATTCTCGCTTGAGCTATCCTAATACAATGCATTTCATGGTATG